ACTGCAAGAACTAACGTTGCAAGGCCTCTCCATTGTGTAGCTGTTAACTTTTTACCAAGAATTAATACTGAGAGAATAGCAGCAGAAAGTATTTTAACTTGAGTAAGGACAGCATATAAACCAGGTTGAATATTAGCTAATGACACTTGACATAATATGTTTTGGAAAAAATAAATAAATGCAGGTATACTTGAGATGAGTGAAGTCATTATTAAATATTTTAAATGAGAAAAAATAATTACATCCTTACGGGTAAGTACAATTCCTATGATTGAAATAACACATTTAGTAATTTCACTTAATAAAATTGAGGCACTTGTAGAATATTGTTCTTTTAGAATACCTCTTGAATAACGAGTAATCAATGAAAGAGAAGTGTTTTGAATCGTTAAAGCAACAAGAAAGATGATACTTAAAATTGCTTGGTTCATGAATTGAATTATGAGATGTCTTTAGGTTTGATATACTTTTTTATTTTTCCTGAGATTATTCTTTGACTAAAATTCCATTTTTTTGTTTTTTTCATTGATTTTTGATATCTGGGAATGGGAAAAGAATGTCAAAAAAATTGAGTTATTGAATAATATTTGAATAAGAAAACAACAACCATTTGTTCTACTAACTGAATAATCTGATTATAAAATGTTTAACGATAACAACAAAATTCTTGATGAAATAAATTATCAAATGGTTTCACCATCTCCTAATAGAATATTTAATATACTTCAAAACTATAAAAAAATTTTCATTCATATTATTGTCCATCATATAATTCAAATTATTGCATTATTAATTTGTATAATTCTCATTTCAACAAATTTCTCTATAACAGAACATCCTTTAGGTATTAAAATATTAATTAGTGAAATGGTTTTTTCTGTTATTGCATTGTTTATTTATATTTGTTATCTTCCATTATTATTCATTGCTTTTAGAACTCATCCTCTTTTTATCGCAGACCCTAATGGTAAGCCATTTTTTGCTAAGATTGCTAATTTGGTTCATCGTTTTTACTCATTAACTCTTGGAATAAACGTTATCCTCTCATTATTACTTTCTTTTAGTTTTAATCCAACAGGAAGTTTAAATAAAAGAAGTGATGGTATTTATTCGACTCTTGTTTGTTTCTTAATATTCCTTGGACTTTCTTGTGGTGAAATTCAAAACCCTTTATTGTTTATCACTCGTAAAATAAAATCAGTCGAAATCAGTTTTAATGAACTTGAAGTAGAAGAACCTTTGAAAGGGTCTTCTTTTGCTGATAAAATTAGTGTTTTTACTTTGGGATATAATTTTATTGGACTTCAGTGTTATGTCAAATATCATTTTGACCCAAACCAGCCTACAATACAACCAGAATTATATCTTAGTGGATGGGTAAAGAATTTCTAATTGAACCTTCTGAATGGTTATTGTTTCATTAAGAATGAAAAAAACAAAATTATGTTTTTTTTTGTTTTCCTCAAATGATAAGTTTAAATGATGAAAAATAGCCACGTTGATAGTTATTTTAATAATCATACTTCATCTCAATAACTAAAATGAGACCGGCTTGGAGACTTAACAAAAAAATTAATCTTTCTGGTACTTCGCCTAAACCTAAATCATCTAGAGAAATACTTTTGCAAATTCAAATTCAAAAAAAAGAAAGAGAAGTAAATCACCAACGTGAAAATGCTGCAACACTTATTCAATCGGTTATAAGAAGATACCAAGTAAAGAAAATTCTTCCGTCTTTGTTTATAGAAAATTTTAGATTATTTAAAGAGTCAAAAGGAAACAAAGAATATAGTTCTTGTATTACTGCAGCTACTTTAGCCCCTTGTGTTAAAAATAATACTTTTGCTTTAACACTTCTGAATTATCAAAGAAATCATCCACTAATTGGTAAATTAGCATGGAATTTATTAATAAGTGAAACTCAATTAAATCCACGAGCAATATTGATGCTTGTAAATACATTTATTAATAAACCTGTAGTTCCAAAGGCTTATCCAAACAAAAAAATATTACCAATACTTCCTTTTCAATTAAGACAACAACTAATTACTACTTTATGTCTATATCCAAATCAAGGATTATTAAATTATTTAACACTTGAAGGTGAATCAATTATTCCACTATCCAAACAATCATTAGACTATTTATTTACTGTTGACTTAACAAATTATCAATCATTAATTACTTATTTATTACAATCATCTGAATTACCTCCAATTTATGAAGTTAAATTCATTAGTGAATTGATATCAATAGAAACTGTAAATACAAGAATATTAAAATTATTACACAATAAGAAAGTGCCTATTCCAACTAAAAATACTTTCTTTATACATTTAAATTTATATAAGTTAATCAAACAAAGTCAAACTTTATTACATTTATTTTTACAGAATTTTCCATTCCCTTTCTTAGATTTAATGCAACCATTTATTGAAACAAATGCACCATATCATGATGATGCAGTTAATTTATATATAAGTCTTTGTCATGACGTTCTTTCATCAAGACTATACAGCAATTTATATGAAGACATGTTACCCTCATTGAAGTATTTATTACCTTTATTAAAAATTAATGAAAACCAACAGATAATGCAAGACTTACATCTTCTTATTAGACATTCCCCATTTCCACCTTCATTACTTCCATTTACAAAAAGTGTAAATCCAACACTCTTCTCTCCATTACCTCAAAAACTTATTGGAATATTTTCTAAGTTAAATAATGAAATCATATTTAAATCAACAATAAAAATAAGGAGAGATTATCTCATTGAAGACAGCTTAGCACAAATTAATCATTGTGATATGAATGCAATTCAAATCAAATTTGTTGACCAATTTGGAATAGAAGAAAATGGGGTAGATGGTGGTGGGTTATTAAGAGACTATCT